CGCCGGGGCTGCCCCAGCGCCGCGGGGCTGAGTGAGCCCAGCCCCCCTCTGAGCACACCCAGGGTGCTGGGGCAGCACCCACACCCCATCTGTCCCCATCTGCAGGGAGAGGGGAGCAGCCCGGTCTGCAGCACCGCAGGGACCCGGCCCAGTCTAACCTTGAGGAGGATCCGGCCTTGGACCCACGAGTGCTGGTGGCTCCGACGCAGCCCCCGCACCAGACCCCCAGCAGGAGCAGCCGCGGGGACCTGCCTGGCATCAGCTGCAGGGCGGGGCTGGGATCTCGCTGTCTCCCGAGCACAAGGACAGAACCAGCTCTCCTTCCCTCTCCCCCTGCCTGCCCCAGCAGATCCTCCGTGCACCGGAGGGAGCCGAGAGCTGGTGCTGCCCCCACCGACCGCGCAGCCGCTCTGCTTTGCCGCGGGCCGGAGAGCCCACATACCCGAACACCAGCGGCAGAGATGGAGGAGAGCAGGAAATCTGTGAGACCAGGATGAAGTGGGGAAGGACAGCCTGAGGCCAGAGGAAGCTGTGAGTGGAGGCTGGGGGGGGGGCTAGAATCCTTTGCACACTCTGGGCACCCTCAGCAAGCCCCTGTGAGCATCTCCGGTTTCAGGAAGCTTCAGAACCAGCCCCAAAGCTGACTGGCTCTCCCGTGGGCATTGGGAAGAAGTACAGAGAGAAGGAAATCAACACAAAAATCTCAAATTAAATCTGCTTGAGGACCTTAGGAGACCAGCCGATCGACAGGGAGGACCCGCCTTAGGACTTCTTTGCATCCTGTGTGTTCCTCCTCTTCAGATCACCCAGGTCAACAGGTTTAAACGCTGCAGGGATGACAGGAGAGGTGCATCGCAGCCCCCCTCCCAGGCTCCCCGGGGCTGGCCATCCCCCACAGCAGGAGCCGGAGGAGCGTGTCCCCCACCCCTCTCACCTTTCAGGCTTGGGTTTGGCATCTTCTCCACATACTCTTCGACCAGGCTGCGCTCGGAGCCCATCTGGCTACGCAGGTCACGCTCCACACACTGCCAGGCTGCGGGGACACGGGTGAGGGGCTGGCCCGGCCACAGCCAGGACCCCCGAGTCCCGGGACACCCC